AAAGGCGTCAGCACTACAGTGGCCATGCCTTCTTTTATGACTTGCTGCTGACAATTCTCTCAGGCACCAAGCTGAAGACCACCAACACTGTGCTGATCCGTGACGAGACCTTGTACGACGCTGAGCTTGGCAAGGCCGTCGCCAGTCTGAACTCCTGCAAGACTGGGACTGCAGCTGGCATGAAGACTTGGCCAGACCTGGCCTACATTGGCTTGTGCTGGGCCCCAAGCGCAACTGTGAAGCAGATTGTGGCCAAGAATGTGCAGACCATGTTGGAAGCATGTCCAGGGTGCAATTGCGCGAGGTGAGTATGCATTGGCCAAGATGCCTGCAGGCCTACAGGCCCCCAGGCCTGCAGACAAGTCCCAGGCCCCCCAGCTGGACATGTCCGTGTTTGAGCTCACAGTGCCACAGACAACCAACTTGGAGTTGCCCTTCTTGAAGACCACCATGGACAAGGGACAGGCCTGCAGTAAGACAAGCCTGCCAAGCAGTGAAGTCTGGTCAGGGCTGGCATGGGCTGACATTGTGAAGCAGCACAATGACGAGTTCAATCCGGCTGGCACTGTCCGCAACAAGCGAGAGGCAGACATTCCTGTGGAACAGCTCCTTGGTTAGCAGATAAGTACTTTTCAGCTTGCAAGAGAAGCTTTTGCAGGGCACATGCGTTGGCTCATGGCATTGCCTGTTTGCACCCTTAGGTTTCCAGGGCAGAGGTGAAGCTTGAGTCTGGCTTGAAGCCGGAGCAGTTGAAGGGCATGGGCCGTTGCAATCCACCGGGCATGGGCACGTGGGAGCTCTATGTCTCCAAGATGGGCGATGTCTATGTGAAGGGCCTGGCGAAGACCACCTTGAGCGGTGTGCTCTTCCCCATCCATGGCCTCTTCAAGACAGGCTCAGAGGCCTCAACCCTGCTGGAGCAGGGAGGCGGCATGATTCCGTACAAGCTGACCGAGAGTTCCAAGGTGCTCCTGCGACCCAAATCAGGCAAGACCTTGCCATCAGCTTTGGCAGGCTTCCTTGGCAGCCCAGTGCCTTTGCAGGAGGTCTTGAAAGCCATGACTGCAGCCTCATTGCCACAGTGCCAGATCCACCTTCACAAAGTTGAGGCTGTGACAGAGCAGGGCAAGGTCAACTGGAGAGGGATGCTCGCAATGGTAAATTGATGATAGTCACCTGACACCATGGGATTTTTCCATGAGGCAAAGCCCATGCCTCATCCAATAAGCAGCATTTTCCAGGCCAACTCATCTACACAGGAGTGGTCCAGTTTTGGCCCCGTTGCTGACCTTTTGCCCTAGCCTGTGGGAGACAAGTTTGCGCCTGGCCAATCCATGCGTTTGCACACCCGGTTTCGCAAGCGTGTAAGTTAGTCTTAACCCATGTGCCCAGGCATCTTCTGCTAGCTCAGCCCTCAGAGTTCCTGCACTCTTACACCACTGGTGGTGCCTCTTAGCCACTTTTTTGTGCCCCCACCCCTGTGTCATTAGGGCTCTTTGGCAGTTCATGGTCCTCAAGACCAACTTGAGCTGCACGCGTGGGATTTCTTGCATTTGCAGCCTAGGTTCCCACATCAAGCCCCTGTTCCCTCCTTGGCTGTGGGGTGGCCATCCTTGCATGTTTACCTTGCGCAGCTAGCCACAGGTGGTCTTTGCCATGTGCTGCGTTGGCATATCAGGCCTCCTGAGCCCCCTCTGCTCAAGCACACAGTGCGCTAGGTGGCCCTTTTTCCTGTTGCTTTGAGCCATGAACAGCTCCTGCACACCTGAGCTTCAGGAGGCACTTGGAAGGCTTGCAGACCTGCAGGAGGCACTTGGAAGGCTTGCAGACCTGCAGGCAGAGCTTCAGACCTGCCTTGGACCCATGAGGCGCACCCTTGAGGCCAACCAAGAGGAGTTGCATGAGACCAGGCTTTTGGTGAGGAACTTGTCCTGGGACATCGCATGTCTCCACTACTGCGTCGCAGTTTGCTGCCTACTTCTTTTGATAGCCATGCGATATTTTTGCTGAGCATGCCAGAAAAAGAGAGACGAGATTCTTTTCATATTGAAAAGGCACTTCTCCTTTCGGGTCTTGCCATCCCATGTCTGCCAGGTGATGTCTCCAGATTGCCATGGCCTCAGTGGCTGCTTTCATGTCCATAACCCTGGGCTTTGTGTGTGTGTGCGCCAATTTTTCAGGGTTTGGAAGGTGCCCAAAATCCCAACAGCCCTGTCCATGCCATGGCATCCATGGCATGGGGCATCCATGGCAGAAGGCATGTGTGTTGGCCTTGGAGTGGCTCAGCACTGCCTGCACTTGGAGAAATGGCCCATCCAAAATTGTGAATGCAATGATGCTGGTCAGGCAAAACCAAAGAGAGTAACAACCCAAAAAGCAGTTCCAGGATGCCTTTAATGACAGCTGCCATGCTTTGAAGTAGACACCCACCATGGGCGCACCAGGTGAGGGGCCGGACTTGCGTGCCACTGTAATGTGTGACACACTGCTATTTTGAGGGGGTGACTGTTTAACATTGTGAAGCTCGATTCATTATATTTTTGCCACAAAGAGACAACCCCTGGATTCTTGAAGCTGTGGTGTCTGTGGGCTGTCTGCCAGTTGTGTCTAGCCTTTGGGTATCCTTGAAAAGTTGTGTCTTCTGCGCTCAGCCATGCCCAGGTGCTTTGGGGAAGCCAATCTGCTGGTCGGCTGTGAGGATGTCAGTTTGAGAGGAAAACAAATTGTTGTCTTGTTGAGCCTGCTACTGTACTGGGTAATTGTGTGCGCACACCGAAATGATAATGTTGAACGAATGGCCAGCCAGTGGAATGATGTGCCTGCCGTGGGTGGGCACCTTTGCATGCCCAATGTGAACTGCCATGAGTTTTTGGCTCACAGCACAGCACAGCTTGCAGGCCAGCAGGCTTGCAGTCCAGACAGCTTGCAGGCAATGCCCCAACAGAGAGGGCTTTCGTATGAGAAGCGGCAAGGTGTCAGAACACTCAAGAAGGCTGTCAAGGTGGCCACAGAGGAGGCTGCAACCTCCAACAAGAAAATTGGCATCTTGAAGAATGATGTGAAGGAGCTGAACTCTGCACTCAAGCACGTTGCGAATGATCTGATGGAGGAAACGTGCCTCCGTGCCAAGGCTGAGCAAGAGACTGAGAAGATCAAGAAGGGCAGGGACGTTGTTCTGGAGAAGCACCAGGGGATGTGGAAGCGGGTCTATGACAAGTGCAACCAGGCAGGGTTGACCAAGCATGACCATGGGCCTGGCAGTTGCTACCCCTGACTTGACCGCAGGAAAAGGACGCCCTCTGCATTGAGAATGCAGACTTGCACTTTCAGATCATGGACTTGCAGGAGAAGCAGGAGCAGAGCTCTTCTTCCAAGAGCCAGCCATCAAATGCCAAGAAGCCTGAGATGTCTAAGAAGTGAAGCCAGCATTGCAGGCCTACAGGCCTGCAGGCTAGCTTGAACTTGGCTACCTGGCGCCGTTCTGGAAAAAAGCTTGTGAAGCGGTGGGTGTTTGTGTGTGTGTGTGTTACCCATGTGTGGTTGCATGTGCCGTGCGTGGCCTTTGCTGAGCAGCTCAGTTGCGCCTGTTTAGGCTCAAGGTCACTGTGTACATGTCTGTTTGCGCTGTGTTATCAATGGGCTTCTCCTTGCGTTGCAATTGAAGAGCCCACCTGCGGGCAGCACTCATCAGGGTCAACCGATGCAGCACATGCACTTGGGGCTTTGGGGCTGACGCGCATGGCTTGCAGCTGGGGGGCAGGGAGGGGGACTGGAGCATTTATTGGTCTGGTGCTGAACGAATTTCCTGCCCAATGGAGCTGTTTGGAAATTAGATGTTTTGCGCCACTTGGTTGATTGAAGGTTTGCCCTCCCCCTTGCATGATGTCTTCAAGGTTTCTGGCATTAATGTTTAGTGTGTAATTGGTGTTCAAATTTGACAATCCCATCAAGGAGCATCAAAGCTGAACAGTTGTCCTGGCGAAAGTGCAACATTGGCTGGCAGAACCCCAGCCTCCAATCGGTCAACACCTTCAAAAGTCAGTGGGGCCCTAGTGTCTGACAAGGGCTGGGGTGAACTGCGAAAACTTGCCTTGAACATCCTTTAAGCCTCTGGCCTTTGTCTTACTTGTTCCCAACCCCTACAGTGATAGGAAAATCCAAGGCATGGAGTCCATGCCTTGGCAGGCTTACAACCCCACAATGTGACTGCGCCCTAGTGAGTGGCAACATTGCCTCTTTGCCTGCCAGGCCTGTGTAACCCTGAAGTGAGGGCCTTAGATGCCTGGGCCTTAGTGTCTGCACCTTAGCTTGCAGCAGGCTCCGCTCCAGCTGCCCCAAACAGTCAAATGGCAACTTCTTTGGCTGCAAGCGTCTGTGTGCAAACACATTGTGGCTGCAGTGTGGTTTGGTGCACGGGTGTGCAACAGGGCATGAAACTTAGGGTCATGGTCAGCACACGTAGCACCACATGCATTTTCTCAATGGCTGTGCCCTCTATGCATAGTGCTTTGCAGTTGTTACAGTTCTGAAGCAAAGCAGGGATATATATTGACCACTAGGCCATTGAATATTGCAGTCTTGGTGCAGGCTAAAGTGCCCCATGACCATCCTCCCTCTCTGGCCAGGCCTGCTTGGTCATCTTTACCATGTGCCCAGAAAAAATGGTGCGCTTTTCAGCGCTACCCGCTTTTCAGCGGTGCCTATGTTTAAACCCTCCCTCCCTCCCTCCCTCCCTGTGAACTGCTGCTCCAGGTAGCCCGCCAAGTAGTCAAGACAGGGGGGATGCAAGAGGGACCCTTAGGGAATGAGAGGTGGGATGCCTGGCAAACAAAACTAAATCTTGGTATCTTAGAATGTTGGTGCCTGTATCTTAGTTCCACTTCTTCTGGTTTCCTGGTTAAAAATAAATGGCACTGGTTTAGATGGGTTGTGTTCCGTTTACCAGGGCCATCGATTTTTCCAGAATTGGCCGCCTATGGGCTCACCATCGCGGGAGAGTCGCGCAGGCCTGCCGTCGCAATTCTTAGAGTCCTTGGCAGACACAGTGGCCCGGGGGCCTTGGTCAAGTGTTCTCTCAGCGCAGCCGGGAGAGATTTCAGCCATCAGTCCGAGGGCTTCCTCCATTGGACCCCTCGAGTGTCTATCCATCAGATGAATTTGTTCCCTTTTGAACGCGGCATTGCGCCCTGCAAGTTCAGTACGCTCCTACGAATACACATTGAGCCCCTAACGAGGTTGACAAGGGAGGCTTCTCTTTTGCTTGATGGTTAATTTGGGGAGTATCCTGTATAGAAGACAGTTTGAAAGTAAGATGTTAAGAGCGTTTAGTGCGCTTCAACGTGGAGTCTAAGCAGTGGTCACTGTCGGTTTGCCGTGTTTATGTCAAGAGACTTGTTGGTATACGGGTGATTTGTTACGAATTGGCGAGCTGCGGTTCACCCGTTTTGCTAAACCCAGCCCCAACTCGAAAATCGAAGCCTGACTGTCCCAAATGAACCCCAACACAGAACAGGAATCCGCCATACCTAGAAGAACAGTCCGGCCTTACGTACTTCTTGCAGCAGGGTATGACAATGACAAGCAGCCTCGGTTTTGCATAAGACACTGACTTGCACCACACGACAACAACAGCGTGTATCCTGGGTACCCTTTCTCACCTCTTGAAAGTAGAACCTACAGAAGAAAAACTCACCACTTGTGGAGGTCCCCCTATTGTGACATATCCGCATATGCCCCCAAAGTTTCAGGCTGGAAGGGGTGTCCAGATGTGCGTTCATGGCAGGGCGAGGCAATTTTTCTGACTAGGCGAGCTGTGCACAGTCCAACGGTCAAGTGGCAGAACATTCGTTGAGCATAGTGGCATAAACTCTTCTGAGAGCTGGCATGCTTACTTTAGATGCAATTTCTGCAGCCATTTTGCCAGCAGCGCTGGTGTGATTTTCAGATCCAATGGATGTCTCAACAGTTTAGACACGCGGGTTGCTATCGCTATGCAGTTGTTGCTTATGAATCCTCGATTGAGGCAGATGCTGCCCGTTTCCAAAGGTGAAAGGAAACCTTTGGTCACCTGGCTGCTCTCCTGCAACCCACCTCTTGCTTTCACGCTGCACTTGATGCCACGTTCTTTTTCTTTGAGTTGGAACCTCAAAACTGGTTGATCGCGGAGGTGGACATGAGTCCCCGTCCACCATGTCGGGTCAGGACCCATTAGGATTGATCGACATGAATCCCCAGCTCATGTCCTCATGTCCACCAAAAGGGTCCGAGACCCATTTTACAACTGGGCAAGGGTCCAAATCCTGTACCAGTGAACATCCCAATCCCCACTGAAATCCCGACTCAAATGGGTGGTGCACCGAAAACCCCCAAAATGGGATCCCATTGGTCTTGACAACCACAGCCAACTCACACCCATGGTGCACAAGGCCGGCTGGACACGATCGATGCCCACCTCCACCTCCCACCGCTTTTCCTTGCCCTCCTCGCCGGTGTGGTCGCCGGAGTGCCCGGGTCGGGCCTTCAACCAACTGGGTGGTGGGGTGAGGAGCACTCAGTTTGGGACTAGTTCTGCTATTGGGTTGGATCTTTAGACTTTAGCTTTTTGGGAAATCAAGGGGTTTTCCGTTAAGCCACTAAAAGTTAAACTTTTTGCAGAGGGGTCAACAGCAACCAAGAGTTTGCATAATTTCGCGAATGGATATCCATTGGGGCTTTTGGTGCTTCTCATGCTTCGTGTTGTCCATCTCTGTCTGGTCAAACAAGCTGACTCAGAATTTGAACTGACTCGTGGAAAGGTGGAAAGACTTCGCTGAGTTCTACAACGATCAACAAGCAATGTGTTGTTTCTTGTTGTAGCCTAGTGGTGCCCCACCACATGGATCAGGACTATGGATCCCTCAATGTTGAAGCCAGTCAAGAGAAGGACTCTTGTGGTTTCAGCATCCTGCGCAACTCCATCAAGGTTTGAAGTCGAATCGAAAGCGGTTGAAGGTCAGTGCCTGATTCATGATCTGTCACATGTCACGGAGTCAAGCGTGATTGACTGCTAAGTGTTGCACGCTCTGGCAACTTGAGCAGGTTAGGCAGGCGCAGTCTACGTGTGTGTCCTGGCAACATGCAGAGGTTCTTCTGAGAAAGGAGGAGGATGCTTTTTTTGTTGTTCAACCGAGTTCACCCCAGCGCAATAAACAAATGACTGCTTCCACATTCGCTGCGAGAAGCTTTGCTTGAATACCCACAGGGATTACCCTGCCAAATACAAGCCTAGAACCTTCACAGAGGTTCCTGTGAAAAAAACAACTCCACAGGGGTTCCTGCAGATGTTGATAGTTTTGGAAGGTAGCTGTTTGCACAAGATGCCAAGTCATTTGAGCTAGTTCGTTGGGGATTCAGTTGTCACACTGCCTAATATCTGGTACCCCCAGAGTTTTGGTTCTTGTAGGGGGTAACTGGGAACCTCCACCTGAACCACCAAACCACCAACGAGGGAAGAGCACTCCACCAGTCTCTCCAGGCCAGTCAGCTACCCTGCCGGCATGCCCAGCTGATGGGGTGTCTGGCCATCGAACTTGGTTTCATACGGGGACCGTGTCCGGCCAAAGTGTCATGCAACGCATGCCGAAGCAGAGTAGGGTGTGGTGGAAGCGCTTTGGGGGCTCCATGATCAGGGGTCACTGGAGTTTCCGCCTTAAAGGTGGCGAGTTGGCAGAGGTGTCCATTGAAACGATCGCCACTTTTGGAGGTCCAAAACAGGGAACTCGAGGGACCTGACGAAGGCTTCGTGGCTCGTGGTCCCCCATTGGTTGACATGCTGAAACACCCAGCACCATCAACCTACCCCTACCTGTCCTGCATGCCCGGCCAGTCCCGCACAGTTGTTTTTCTAGACTTGCAAGCCTTGGAAGTCTTCAACAACATGGCGAACGTTTTGTTTTTTGTAGTGCTACAGTCGTTGCCTGAGATCCTTGAGGTCCGAATGGAACACTTGCGGGTTGAAGCCCTGCGCGGTTGGCTCGTATGAAGCGTCAGATTTCACAGCTACGCACATACACGCACACATGCAGCGCCAAAGCATAAAGTTGAATACGCTATCAAACTTCACAAGGAGACACCGCGGCCAGTCTCAGATACGGTTACGTTCCTTGCCAAACAGGATCGAGGGTTTCCCCCCCACTTCTGTGATACAAGGGAATCCTCCTTTATAAGAACAAAAGAGTCTTTGGGAAGCCCTTTCTGTTGTATCACAGAAGTGGTCATTCCCCACAACCCTGCACTTGTGTGTTTGTTGATGTTGAAGATAAGCGGTTCCTCCGGATCTGCCGCCTAGGATCTCAGCGTGTCGCCTGCTCTGAACCAAGACATCTAAAGCACTGCCAGGTTCAAGCAGCCTTTCCTCCGTTTCCCTTTTTGGAGCCTTAAAAAGTAGCGGTTTCAATGAACATTACCAGTAGATTGACCCCTGGCCAGCGACAACTTCCAAAGCAAGTGCAGTACCAGTCACGGGCAGGCTGCGCTGGAGGATGATGTTCTCAAGCAGCGCGATGCTCGCGAGGTACGCGACTCGGGGCGGATGGAGGTAGGAGTGGACCAGGAGTCAGTCAAGTTGGAGCAGACTCCACTTGAGATTTCTGATGCTTGGGTTCTGCTTTGGGTTCCTTTAGGTTCTGGGGAGCGATGAAAGCTTTGACGACGGAGACAGAGATAAGAAGGGATTTCCATTTGGTTGTGGCTGTGTGGTGCAGAATGGGTGCGCGAGGCAGGGTTGGTCGGACGACTGTGTGGTGCAGAATGGGTGACGTCCGTGTGGTGCAGAACTGGGTGAGCAAGGTTGGGGACAGCTGTGTGGTGCAGAGTGTGGTGTGCGCGAGGCAGGGTCGCGGGACGGCCGTGTGGTGCAGAATCGGTGCACGAGGCTGGATCAGGGGACAGCTGTGTGGTGCAGAGTGTGGTGCGCGCGAGGCAGGGTCGCAGGACGGCCGTGTGGTGCAGAACGGGTGCGCGAGGCTGGATCAGGGGACAGCTGTGTGGTGCAGAGTGAGGTGCGCGCGAGGCAGGGTCGCGGGATGGCCGTGTGGTGCAGAATCGGTGCGCGAGGCTGGGTCGGGAACGGCCGTGGTGCAGAATGGGCACGCGCTTCAGGGTTGGGGGATGGCTGTGTGGTAGAGAATGGGTGTTCGAGGCAGGGTTGGGGGGACGCGCGTGGCTGGGTCTGGAGTCAGCGCAAGTTGATACAAGAGGTTTCAACATATCCAGTCTATGGCCCGGTAGGCAGGGACAAGGGGGCACGTGCCAAACACAGAATCTGGGGGTCTCGCTAGTTTTCCCACGCCCAATCTAAGGTCACTGCATATTTGACTGTGGCTCTTGCGGTGCGTGGGTGGTGGACAGGTTCGCAGGGAAAGGCGCTTTAGTAGCCGCTGAGTGCACGAGCGGGCATTTTGTTCGTTGAACAAATCACCGGCGGTTTGCGTCCAGCCCTGCCAGGGCCAGAAAGGCGGCTCTAGAGGATGCATTCGGTTCACTTCTTTTGGGTCCCAGGGCTCCTCTTGTTTTGAGGTTTGTGCTGGCTTGTCTCAAAGTGACCTTTTTCGGTCCTCTTGGTTTGCCTTAAGCCATCAAATGGCCCATCTGGCTACGTTGGAAATGTGCACGGCATGTTCCAAGCTCTGACAACGCAGTGAGGCAAGTCCTAGTGACACCTGGAGTTACATGGGTTAATGGTACCCGTTTTCGAGTTATTTAGTAAGGTTCCACTATTTTAAGACACACACCCACACATTTTGCCATTTTTCCATGTCCCAAAGTCCTGCAAACAACGGAAATGCCAGTGTTTCCGGATGAATGCATACATACTTTTATCATCATTGGCAGCATGCGTCTGGTCTATGAGCTCAGACAAGACCATCATGGAAGAAGCGTGGTCAAGAATGCCATGGGTATTCCCAGCACGTGTTCGCAAATGAAACCTATGGGTGGTTTGTCTTGTTTGAGGCTCGCTTTTCGTGTCCTTTTCAAGGCAAACCAAAGGGCAAAACACCCAATTTGGGGGGTTCCCCTATTTTGAGGCAAACCCTGTATATATACTTGTATATTAATATACATACCTGGAAACTCCTTCCGGCCAAAATTTCAGCCGCGGACTCAAAAAGGCGCCTTTTTGCGTCCGCCGGCGGAAATTGGGATCTCCCAAAAATCGTGCGGCGTTTTTGCTTTTCCGGCAGCGTTTTTCAAACGCGGCCTTAAAGAGTATTGCTGCCACAACCTTTGCTTTGACCCATGAGCATTCGCCAATGTGACAAGCGTTGATTGTGCAAACCGCCTTTTGTCTCATTATATTGAATACCTAGAACTTCCTGCGGCGGAAATTTCTGCCGCAACGCATTGCGGCGGAAATTCCCGCCGCATTCCAGAAAATCAGCCGCAAACCCAAAAAAACGCCGTAACCAAAACAAAAACGCCGCAACACCGTTTGCTTTCCGGGAATTTCCGCCGCATTCCCGCCGATTTCCGCCGCATTCCCGCCGATTTCCGCCGCAAATCAGGGGGTAGAAAAAACTGAAAACAAGTTCTGCCGCAATTCAAAAAAACGCCGCAAATCAGGAAGAAATGCCGCAAATCCAAGAAGGCGCCTGTTTTGATTTGCGGCAGAAATTTCTGCCGCAACGAAGCTCTAGGTAAATGCAGCCACAGAGCAGCCTTTTGCAACTTGCAGCCACGGCAGTACCTGCGCATGCCTACCGCCAATCTCTTCAATCAGGGCATGACGCAGCCCGGGTGTATGAATTATGTTTGTGGCGAGTACGGAGCCCTCTTTGTCTCCACTGCTTCTGGCTTCAAAGGGGCTGGTTGCCCCAAAGTGATTTTTTTCCTGCATGCACGGTTCAATAGACGGTTTTGTATTTTGTTGGTGTTTCGGGCTACGGCGGAAACACGCGGGATTACGGCGGAAACACGCGTCCAACCAGTGGACGTTCTCAGGGCCTTTGATTGTGCTTGATGCTTGATCTCCTTACCTTCGATTCGTGCTGTTATTAGCATCACTGTGCAAAGCACGTCTGGTCACAATTGCATTGCCGGCGGAAATCATGATGCATGCAATTGGCTATGTAGTTGCGGGCACCGACAGTGCCAAAGCTCGTGTATTGATGTGCAAGTGCTTGCCATTTCCGGCCTACGCATTGTTCTCTGGATGGGTGGGGTCGTTGCTGCGTGCCCAGTGCCCATTTTCGTAATTTTCAGCAGCGTTTGTGAGCAAATCAAAGACATGCCGGTTGGCTTTGCATTGTGGGAGCAAGTGCTTGGTTCAGTTTATGATGTTCTAGACCAGGCTTTGCGGCTGTTTTTTCTGGCTGCCGGCGTTTTTCAGAGCTGCCGGCGATTTTTCTATTTGCGGCTGAAATTCTTGCTGAACGCAAAGCGGCTAAAATTTTGGCCGGACGGAGGTTCCAGGTATGGAACATTGTAAGTACCTGAGGCACCCAACGTGCCCTTTTTTTTAGGTACGAGAAAAAAACGCTCGAATTACCGATTTCTGCTCGACCCCCCAAAAAACGCTCGCCCCCCAAAAAACGCTCGACCACATCCCCTTCTTCCATCCAGAGGAAGGCGGGATTGTTACGTTTTTTTTTTTTAAATTTGCTCTCGTTTGCTTGCGGATATTTGCGCTCGTTTTGCGGATATTTGCGCTCGTTTTGCACTTTGATTTCTGCTCGCTCCTTTTGAATATTCAGTGACCGATCATCTTGGAGGACCGACCAGCCCGGTTTTGGGAAAAACGCTCGAAGCAGGAAAAAGTGTACGTTTACCATATTTTGGTGACGACCCCTGGTTTTGCAATACGTTTGGGCTAAGGGCAGAAATTTATGTAACGAAGGGTGCTCCAGGTATATATACAGTATATATATACATAAATGCACCGAGCCTATGGGTACCACTGAAAGGATCACCATTCATTGTGTAAGTGGCAGTTCCGAGGATCGACAGCGGCAGTCAGTTTCCATCACAGACATCCCAGTTTAGCCACGCCTTTTCCCTTGTTTGGTAGCCGTTTGTCTGAAATTGACCAACCAACCCCAAATCGAATTCCCGGCAGTCAGTTGGTATCAGACATCCTAGTTGAGCCACGCATTCAGTTTGCATCAGACATCCCAGTTCAGCCACGCCTTGTTCCTTTGTTTTCCAGCTCCCCGTCTGAAATTGACCAACCAACCCCAAACCATTAAATGGGATTCCCTTTTTGGGTGTGTCTTTTCAGCGCACCCTGGTCTTTTGTTTTCATCGGGAGAGCCATTTGGGGAGACCCATGTTTTGGTTCAAAGGGAGACCGCCAGGAAAACCAAAGCCATTTGGGGCCGAATCCGGGCAAGAGACGAGCCAGCCGTTGGAGCCGTTGGACCAATTCGAGGCGGACGTGGCCTTCCTCACGGAGTGCTGTGCCAGCCTCATGGAGATGGGACAGGAGCCAGCGAGAGGGCCGGCCGGCTTTCCGGGAGAGGGAGATCGTTTTTTTTTTTTTTTTTTTTTTTTTTTTTTTAAAAACAAAAAATCCGCGATGAAATGGATCCATTGGCTGAAATTAAGATATGTTCGTGGTTTTCCTTGTAGGTTTAAGGGGAATCGATTTCACTGAGAAAATGTAGGTGTTTTTTCCCAGTGGAGTTGAGAAAGTGGAAGAATGGATGTATCTGTCGCTAGGATTTGGACCCCGCAGAATGGTGGCTTTTCTTGTTGGTTTCTCTTTGAAGCGCCAAATTTAGTTTGTTATTCTGTTGTTTGGGCGTAGGACCTCCAAGTGAATTTTGGTATCCATGTTGGTTTCTCTTTACAATACCAAAAACGGGGGCACCAAGTCCAAAACAAGGGGACTCACCCAAATGCTGATCTTTTTTGGCCATGCCTGGGATAGGCTGAGGATACAGTTACACTTGGTGACTAACAGTGAAACAACCATGGAAGCACATATGGCAGAGCAAGTAATGTAGTTCCCATTCATTTTGGCAACAGACTGCAGGTGGAAGAGTTGTCGGGACTGACATGCTATATGACAAGGGTACGAGACATGAGCAATGCGTTGACTGTAATATATATATATATATATTCCACACGCAGACCATCGCCTAGCTATGGGAAGCTGCGTCAGATCGGCATGGCACGTGTTTCTTCCGACGGGCACTCCTGGTTTCTTCCTTTTGCTTAAGAATGTGTTTGTTTTTTCCCTTGTTGGTTTTAAAGGGAATCTATCACTACTGGAGTTGTTCTTTTCCCCCGGGGGCTCAAGCAAATGGAAGTTTTGAGTTTTCAGGTACCCCCTTGCTATACCAAGGGGTTGTCAAGGGGAGCCGGGCTGACAGGGACTGACAGTCCTGCCAGGAGACGGGCGGCGAGGGGGCAGATGCCGCCACTTTGGCGGGGGGGCCAAAGGGACACTGAAGAGCTTACGACTGATGAAGTGAAGAGGCAATCCGGAGGTAGTGTCACAAGTGCCCTCCCGACAGCTAACATGGCACCTGACAGGGGGTCCCTCCAAGAGGAAACTGATCTTCCAGGTACCCTCCCTCAGATGCCATGTTAGTGGGAGGAAGGGTAAGAATCCCATGCGTCAATTGATCCTTTTTCCGTTTTATGTTTGTTAGGATTGTCCTGGGAGGGTGGCGTTTTATGTTTGGTTAAGATTGTCCTGGGAGGGTGGCGTTTTATGTTTGGTTAAGTCTTGGGAGGGTGGTTAGCTTTTGAAACGTACCTGAAAAAGCATCTCGGGTGACTCCCTTCTGTTGCATTGGACTCATTCGCTTCGAACCCTGGTAGGCGAATCGATTCGCCGCTGTTTCTCTTGTCCTATCCATGCCAGAGGGTTGTTTTCCCTCAGACCCTCCCTCAGACACTCAAACCCTCAGACCCTCAGACGACCCTCAGACCTTCAAAAACCCTCTGAGTGTTGCCTCGATTTGCATGTTTGATGAAAGAGGACTGGTACAAGTGTATGGACACCTCAAGGATGTGGTTTTGCGCGGACTTACACTCGTTGGTTCGGACCAGTTCTGCATGCTACATAATTTGTCGCCCTGAGTTCCTGACTTGCATTTGTTCTGGCCAATTCACTCCGGACGTGAAATTACGGGATTTCCCTGCCCCTGCTTTCTAGTTGCAATATTTAGGCAGTTTGGGGTCGGACACGTTTGCCTCTTTTGGCAAATGCGGCCATGGATTTTCTTGCCAGGTCCAACCGTGTCCAATCGCAGAGATGCTGAGCCACACTCAACCCCCTGGGATGGTGTTAGCTGCAGGTGCCTGCCCCATGCTAGTATGTAATTATGGGATTTCGGTCAGACCATTCTGCCGCTTGATTCAGTAGCGTTGTTTTTTCCCATTGACGTGGGTGTGTGTGTTGCACCTTTTCAGCCTTGGAAAGGCAAATTGGAAGGACAACTTGTTGGGTCCAAGTCCCTATATTGACATACTGCACGTGTTTGTGCCCCCCAACCTTTTTCTTTTCTTCGTGTTTTTGGGAACCATTGAGTAGGACAACAGTTCCAACAAAACCCGTGTGGAAAGACATCAACATAGGAATTTGCACCCCTGCCATGAATTTCGGGTCTTTCCCTTTGGGAGACCTCCAAATTTAAGACACCCAAAACGATACTTTACGGAATGCGCCCCATGAATCCAAATGGTTTCCCTTTGGAGCAACCAACCGCTTCGTTCCTTAAGCCACCTTGTTGGTAGGGAAACCATTGAGTAGTGCAACCGTTCCAACAAGACCCACGCGGAGAGGTGTCAAAATTCGTGTTTGAATGCCCCCCAAATGGAAAGCCGTGTAACAAAAAAAACAGGCTTCGACGGCCTCAAATGGATTTTGTTTTTGCGTTGAGGAGACCTCGCTTGGAAATAAAAGCACCCAACACGATACGTACCTACATTCAAAGAACACACACACACACCGGTATAGGTGACAACACCCAAAGAAGATACCTACTGATCTAGGGGTTGATTCCCCTTTTTTCAACCATCGTTCTTTTCAAAACCAGCTGTTCCCTGGGCTTTTGATGGTTTCATGAAAGCATCCCTGGAAACCTGCTTTTTAGCCTTTTAGTGTTTAGTGGTAGTTTCCGAATTTAACCCACTAAAAGTTAGTCACTTTTAGCGGGGGATCGGAAATCGGGCAGCACAGGAAAGAACGGAATTGGAAGGTCGCCCTGGAACTGAGCCTGCCACACCTCTTCCCCCCCTCCAACCCGCGAGCACGTAGGTGCAGAGCGCGAGCGCCTGGGGCGTGGACTACGGGGCCCTGGGATGCTCGCTGGCGGGGGGCCCCAGTTGGTGGCCGAGTTGAGCCGTTCGCGGATATTGGTTGGTTTAGTGGTTGGTTTCCAGCTGTGGGTCAAAACCAATGAGATCTCATTTTGGGCTAGGTGCCACCCATTTTAATCTATTTTAGTGGGGATTGGGATGTTTCCTACAAGTATGGGAGTTTGACCCATGACCATTTACTTGGGTGGCTCCCAACCATCCGGTTCCTTAGCCTTGTAGGCGTTTAGTGTTTAGATTCGACTTCCAAATTTAACCGACTAGAAGTTAAGCTTTTAGCGAGGGATCTGAGGGCAGCCCAGTTGAGTGCTTGGTTTAGTGGTTGGTTTTTCATTTAACCCATTTGCAACAGGTCTGGAATGACTCAGGTTTTGAGAATGAACCTGGAGATTCCCTTAAAGGCATCCACAGGGGATGGTTTGCAGGTCATAGAACCATCCTTGCAGTGGGTTACGCATAGAACCGGTTTTCTTTGTAGTGACCTCCCTGGGATGGAAAAATCGGCTTGGCCAAACCTTGATTTGGAACAGCCCTGACAGATTCTGGGGTCTCAGGAGACAAACAGTTTATGGAACGGTGGTAAAATCAGCTACATATTGTGTAACATGTTATGGACATATTCAAAACGAGTCTAGAGCAGCCCAGTTTGTAGCCCCTCCATGTTGAGCAACTCAGTTTGAAACGCTGCACTTGCTAAGTGACTTTAATTTTGTATTGTTAAGTGATTTTTGTTAGGTTGTGAAGATAAATCTACATACCAGGTATACGGGTATATTACCTTTTTTGCCGCGCAAGCAAATAGAACTACCTCCTCCCTCTCCTCAGTTTCTGAACCCCTACCGCAAACCATTAAATTGAAACACATTTTTGGATATTCCACGACGCTGTTCGGCTGGACAAGCGGAGAGATCTAAGGCTTGATGCCCCATTCTTCGCACCACCTTTGCGCCCTTGCGCCGATGCTTACCTACCCCTAGGTGGATATTTGGATGGCCACTAGACCTAGTATCTAGCCCCTGAGCCTATATATATATATTATACGTGCGTTTCTTTTTGAGGATATCCGTCTTGGGGTTGATTTAAAAGAAAACTAAGAGGAAACCACCATTTTGGGGTTGCACATCATCATTGTTCGATGGCGGTGGAGATTCTTGGGCCAGGGTGTTAAGCCTGTCCAATGAGCACTTGAAGGATTATTGAGCGAGGCCGAGACCTTCATAATAAGATGTGTGTGAAATACGTGAGTCTGCCTTTGTACGGAGCACTTCCTTTTTGGTGGTTTTGAATGAAAGCCACAAGGAAAACCCGGCAATTTGTTGGGATCCGCTGAAGAAATACACACACGCACACATCTATTCATATAATCACACACCACATGACCACGGCCAATAACTCTCACCCTGCAACACACCTTGGCACATGATGACTGCGCGATTTTGGTCGATTTTGACTTCGACATGATGGTCAAGAAATGAACCCGCAAATGTATGGGTGTGTGTGTGTGTCTCCAAAATAGGGAGTTGGACCCCCCCAATAAAGCTTTTGTTTTCCTTTTGTGTTGCCCTTTAGACCAAGCTCATCATACAGGGCTTAATAATTGCACACATTATTATCCTTTGATTCGTGTTGAATTTGACTTTAAAGTATCCCACAAACCCATTCTCATTTAGACCCTTACATAATTCTTAACAGTGTGGGGGTTGTGTGCATGGTCAACAGCACAACAGTCCTTGAAGTATACACGCATCGCACACGAGGCGATTCCCGGCATCAACCCGAGCACAGGGCAACGTTGGATACGTCATAGATTTCACATTTTGTTATGCTATCTATATCCAATGTTGTTCTTTGTCTATTGACATGTTGCAACTTGTGGTGTTTCCCTGCTTGCCGATATGGATGTGTGTTTATTGAGTGTACCCTGTTGGTGGTTGAAAGGGAAACCAAAAGGACAATCGATATCCATTCTTGGGGTCTCCCTTGCACACAAGCCCATATGCTCTCCTTTGGTGCATGTTGCTTGGTTGTTAGGACTTTATCTTTTTGCCAACTACTGGGTTTTCCACTAGACCGAGTCTCTGTCAGGTTTGGGAGGGCTTTGAGCACATGAGTACACATCAGGTTCTGCTCCACGGCGACGATGATGCCACCGTGCCGGTTGGCCCAGCTGCGCAAGGAGTTGGCATTTTGCGGGGGGGGCTTGCAGGTTCGCTCGGACATCGCGCGCTTGGCTTCTGTCATAGGTCCTAGGTTCATTCCCAACACCCGGAAGGTCATTCCCTACCTATCGCACCAGCAAGATATGTGGCCCCGGATTTTCATGCACCCGTTGACGAACAGGTTCGGGCGCCAGGTTACTTATCGATCGGACTCCCGTCCCCGGGATTGGGTCCGAAGCGAGTGTCACACAAGGCTTGGGCTCAAACCGACCTGGAAACAAAACTATTTGCTTGGGCCAAGCAGCCCTGCTATGCAGGACCAATTTTTGGCTGGCCCCCCTGCATAAACTACCCCCCCGGCATAAACTACCCCCCTCCCCCCCAAAAACAATCTGGTCTATCTGGCTTTGTCCTGAGCGGGCCACCAGCGATTGGGTGGACACAGCTAGGCTGATATGGTTTTAGCTTCCGTGTCAAGCCGATTTCGCAAAACAAGCATCCACATGCTGAAGTCACCCAAAGTGAGGATCCTACACGTCAGCATGACTCAGAGAGTGATTTCAGCATGTTTTAGAGGAGGTGGTGTGCACTCAGGACACCTTGCAGCTCAAGAGCGCTCCTTGATTTGTTCATGGCATGTGAAATGGTATGGCGCACTCTGACGGCTGAACGCGAATCCTGGAACTTGATTTGATAGAGCCTGGGCAGCTTTAGTATTTAGGCGCTGGCCTCATGGGTGTTGACCTGACCCCCCACGAGTAATGCACAAACAGGATGGAAGGATCAGCCATGATCTGAAGGTATTTCCAGACGCAATGAAGATTGCCACACTTGAACTCCAGATGGAGAGTGCTAATCTTTCGAGTACAACTGATGAGTCTCGAGTACAACCGACAAGTCTCGAGTATGATGAGTTTCGGCTCGCAATGTATTCGGCTTCCCTCTAGTGTCGAAAACGTTACCAGAAAGAACAAGAAGCACAAACAGCGCCGCAACCAAGGGGCCAAAAGGACTTTCAGAATCACTGAAGCAGGTACAGGTGTCCACGTCTGGACACCCTTCCCACCTTTGGCAACAGCTTCATTGCGTGCAGTATGCCAAAGGTGCTGCACGCCCCTGCTGCGAAACCGAAAGGGTGGTGACAGGGCATTCTGTCACTCCGCACACACACGCCCCTCTACGAGGGGCGAGGTTTCTCTTTTCTCCTGCAGGAAGATCACATGCTCAAACTCAAATCACTATCGTTGACCAAAATATCCACCACGGCGAGGGGAGCGAGACACTGCCCTAAACCGCTCAGAAGACGGGAACGAAAGATCACAACGTTGAGCATTGCGAGTGTCGCCATAGAGGACTGAAGCGATCTGCGAAGCAGCCGGGCGATCACCATGAGAAAACGGAGTGGCATAGGTGAAGGTCTCCTCAACTTGAACGGCATCGGAGTTCCGACCTTGACCAAGAGTCTGATCATGTGAATAGTGAGTCGCGAAGGACTCAATCCGAGACAGAATGCGCTGGTACCCTTGGTGTTGCCAGTCACGGATGTCCCATGCCTGGACTGGCGCTTCGGGATCCGTCACCCGCTGCCATTCACGAAAAGAGTTTTCAGGTAGATCAGGTACGGCGTCACCACGGTGCCATCGTTGAGGTTGTCCCGGAGTGTAAATCCGCACCCACTCCTGATCATGCCAGACCGAATATTCGAGCCATGGATACTGCTTGGAATCATCGATGTCCATGTCGAGGCAAGAGGCAAGGATGGTCGCGGGCTCCGATCCAGCTAGTAGGTGAACAAGCACCATGCACAACCATGTTCAAACAACAGCAAAGCAAGATCATGCAAGTGTAGAGGCCACCCTTATTTTGTACGCTGCGCTGCTCATGCAAGGCTAGTCTTCAGTGAGCTCGAAGACGGGCCTCATCTTGTCTTGGCCGCTGCCGGACGGATTCACGGGCGTGTAGGGGTCGGAGACCCCAATCGTCTCCGATGGTGTGTTGCCACGCGATGCACGTACTGGTTGATGAGGATGGGAGGTCAGACGTGCGCGGGCCGTCAGTTGTTGAGAAATCCCCTCCTGGAGACGAATCAGTTCTTCAGTGGAGAAATCAGCCGCATCCGAGGACCTGAGAATCGCGTCTAACAGCTCCGGCGACATACTCAATGCCGCGGACTGCGTGGCCACGTTATGGTGATCGGAGGGATACATGGAATCAAATTCATGACCAGCGTGAGGAGCAGCGATTCTCCGATAGCCCTCCGTCCGTGGCCCAGTCTCGCTTGTACCACGTAGTGACTTGGACTTGCCCTTCGACTGAGTCCTGGTTGGGAGCATAGAACTCCCGCCATTCTCTGAAAGTATGCGGAGGAGGTGGAGCATCATGTTCTTCTTGAGGCGTCCATGGTCCCGGATGAAAGATCTTGACCCACTGGGCATCAGGTTGTTGAGGGTCCGGGCACCATTCCAGCCACGGCATGACAACGCAACCACGGAAAGTCAAGTTGATAGGTGTACGGCTGCAGACAACCACGAGTGAAAGCAAATCAACTATCAAAACGCAAAAGACCACTTTTGTAGCACTGTGCGGCGCCAACATCACAGTCAGACTCTCCAGGGAGGCGAGGACGGGCATCAGCTATCATGTGAATTAGATGATGCCGAAGAGGAGGTCATTCCAGCATACATGAGGTCCGGTGCACCCGAAGCGAAAACTGGCCTCGCTATGCTGGGATGTGGACGACCCAGGCGTTGGTACCCCCTGGTGACCCAGTCCCTGTAATACCAAGTGTAGAAAGTGGCGTGGGATACCGGTTGCAGAGCCGTGCCTATAGTTGTGCCGCCAGTGCTTTCCCTGGGCCAGTACACTTCGAAGTGGTACTTGCGCCATTCCCGATAGGCGGTCGGGTCATCCGGGGCCGGTCCCAGGGTGTCAGGGGCTACTGGATGCCACTGACCCGGCACATAGATTCGAATCCATTCCACCCTCGTTCCTGCTGGTCCATTGACGATGTCATAGTCAAAATAGCGAGGTAGGACCCATCGTGCTGCACCCTGCACCGTACTATTGAACATTTCAACCCGACAAGCTGCTCAAAGTTATCACAGAGAGCGGCGGACACATGGAGACAACATGCACAGCACCAAGCAAGACAACCCAATGAGAACTCACATACAAAGCACGCACAACCTCATCTTTATCCAACATGCTACTCAAGTGTCAATCCGAATTATTCCAAGGATCATGGAATGGTGGCGGTGACGGTTCCCGCCACGCTCCATCAGGTACCGACGAGCTCACCGAGGACTCGATGTCTGCGTTGGCGAGCATCGCGAGTCCGATGGATTGGACAGGAGGTCCAAGTCGTTGGTACCCTCGCGTTTGCCAGTCTCGGTACTCCCACACGTGATAGGACACATAGGAACTGGGCGTGGCAATAGGATCCATTGTGGTGCCTCCGGTGCTGTCTTCAGACCAGTACACTTGGAAGTGATATGATCTGCGCCACTCCCGAAATGTGGAAGCGTAAAGTGGGTCCGGAACTGGCGCCTCCTCAGGAACGGGCCTCCAAATGCCCGGAGAGTAAATTCGAATCCATTCCACTCCTCTATCGATCTGGTACTCGAAATACTGGGGGTTCATAGCAGCAATACGGGCTTGCACGACTGCTAAACCAATCGAAAATCTGCGGCAAGGACGCACATGCATTGCCAACCGGACACATCCACTGAGGAGCGAGGCAACTTTTCAAACACAAGGTGAAACGGGTCAACGAGGTCTGAAATGTCTGACACCTGGCTTTCACTGTCTTTGATGTCGCGCACACCTGCAATGATAGTGACCTGGTCGTCTACGTGCACAAGGGGAAAGACATTTCCGTCCATGGCGCAGGATGGCGTGGCAGTAATGTTTGCATGTTGCCGATGGGGATCGCGATGAACGGCCAGCACGTTTGGAATAAAACACTGTAAAGGGCCGTCGAGATCGCCGCGGCGCTGAAGCTGATGCTGTCCGAGATCTTTTGGACGAGCGCCCTGGACTGCGTGGTACTTCATCACGGGAAGGGTCAGTGCTGTAGATCGAGCGGCGTGTGCGCTGCGATTTCAAAGAGGTAGGGCAGGATTGTCCGCGAGGGGCTGAGATCGAGGGGCTGCGTACCGAGGGCATAAACTGGGGGTGTAGAATCACCGGTGGTGGTGGTGGTGGTGGAGGAGGAGGTGGAAGAAGCAGTGGCAAGCTTGGCGGGGGCGGAGGCGACGTAGTCAGCCGAATGGGTCTGTCGAGTAGAGCCCCGGGTCCATGAAATTGTAACCACGTCGGCTGCGCTCCATGGGTCCAGGTAATGTACGTCTGTACAACTTGTTCTGACATGATTTGAGCAACTCAGGAAAGACATCACTGCATGTCAACGACATCTCGCAACACGACAAGCAAGATTGAGTCACGTGCAAGCAAGCAAGTATCATGTGATCAACAACTCAAACTGGACACACCGCCGCCGCTTATCATTTGGTCCATCAATGATCGCTGCTGCATTTGCCGGGCTTGTTCCTAGCCGCGAGCCTCAAGTTGTTGATAGACCTTCCATGCCTGCTTAACTTCCTCAATCGGCTTCTGAAGAAACCGCGCAATGGTCTTATAGGTGGGTCTGGAATCCTTATCTTTCTTCCGTCTCACCATTTCATCCAGCTCGCCCTGTGTCCATGCCGTGAAAGGTTCACGGTATGCATTGCGAAGTGCAATGGTAAATTCTTGTAGAAGTTCCCGAGGACCATGAACCACCGTCGGCGACGGCCGGAACGACGAGGCACCTGGATGCGGATGTATCGAACCATCAGAATCCGAATCAGGTGTCGTGGGCGTCGTCTGTCCTGGTTCTCGTCCACCGTGTGCCGCGAAAGGAGCACGAGGACGAGGCGGTGGCAGTCGATCTAACACCGATTCGGGCCGAGTACCAGAATTGTGTTCACTAGCATCACGATGTGCGGCTCGAGGCG